AAGCAGGAATACTGAAATGCACATATCCTGGAAATGGCACACTAAAATACAGGCCCCCTTTTGTGTCGATGTGGAAGATGGAGAAAATGAGAAATAGAGAAAAATCAGAATTGACATCCCTGTATCTTTATCTGTCAGCAGATACTCAAAGAGTCCACTAAGAAGGACATGGGTCTGCTCCAGAGGATGGCCCTCTATTTGTATAGCTTTCAGACATCAGAGGAGGGACTGTTCTTGATCATCTCAGAGTGCAAGACACATAATAATTGGCTCAAGCTACAGGACGACAGTTTTAGGCTGAGGCTGAATATCGGGGGGGGGGATCTTAATTGTTAGAGCAGTACAACAATGGAACCAATTACCTTAGGAGGAAGCAAGGATTCCAGTGCTGGAAGCATGGAAGAGAAAATTGTACAACCAATTGTCAGCTTTGCTTTGATTTAGATTCCTGCGTTGGACTCGATGGCCTTATAGGCCCCTTCCAGCTCAATTATTCGATGATTCTATTATCAGTCCTCTATTTGAAAGATAACCAGCATGGCTTGAAGATCAAGAACTCATATGAAGGGAGAGCTGTCAGCTCCTGGACTGCATATCAAAGAGGGCAGAATCATTAGTGTCTCAGTCATGTTACAAACCAAAGGGACAGGTAAGGTTTTCAACTCAAATAAATATGATCAGGGGGACTGCCAGCTTATTCTGGCCAATGCACAGGAGAAAACAGAGAATAAAAACAGAGGAAAGATTAAGATATGGAGCAAGGATTGCAACAAAAAAAAATCTTGAAAGAAGAAAGAAAAAAAATGTAGCACCATGCAAAGGAAAAATCCCAGAAGGTGACTCCTTTTTTCATCAGTTAACCTCTGCTCACCCAAACACAAAATTGCCAGGGCTGTTTTTCAACAAGTGTGAATGGTACTGAGCACAAGATGGTTTCATGTAGACCAGTGGTTCCCAACCTTGGGTAACCAGGTGTTTGTGGACTACAACTCCCAGAAACCCTAGCCATCACAGCTAGTGGTGGAGGCTTCTGGAAAATGCCGTCCAAGAACACCTGGGTTACCCAAGGTTGGGAACCGCTGCTATAGACCATCTTGACTGTTGCCACTGCTGTTGTCAACGTTCAGGTTGCCGTTTGTTATGTAAAGCTTGGTGTTCTTTTTCCTGCTGGCAACGTGGAGATGATATCGTGCAGCAATATCAAACTATTTTTTGGCATTTAGAATCGTGGGTACAGGAGCACATTGTCCCACATTCATGAACCAGGGGTGTTTCCCCCCCAAGAATTGAATTAAAAGTAAAAAATGCCATGAATAGGAAGGTGTTACATTGTCTGGACAAATCTGTATCTTTGATCTAGGGCACCAAACTGATTTGGGGTATCTGGGGCCTCAAAACAACCCAACTGTGGAGGCTGTAATGAACTGTCTTGTTGTATGTTGACTTCAAAATGTGAAAGTGATTTCCAATTTTTCCCCCCATGTATAAAAAGAATAAATGGCCAGTCTGCCACTGTGGCTACCTCCATTCCATTACTACAAGCAGTTTGCTTCTGGAAGACTAGATCACCGGCCTGGGTCTTGCGTGTAAGAAACATGACAAAGTCTAGTATGGAATAAAATTTAAAGAAACACAGATGGAGCCTTTGCCAATTCTGGCCGGCCACCTGCTGCATATGTCTAATTTCCCCATATTCTTGTGCCTTCAGAGGTTTCATTTGGATCTTATTTGTTTTTCTAGAGACTGTGTGGCTTGCATTCATTTTTATTCACTTGAGAGCCTCTCCCTTGGAAGTGGTCCTGTCAGAGCAACAGATTGTGTTGTCCTGTCTCGTTTTCAGCCACCAAAAAAGGAAGTGTCTAGCAATTCATTCTTTCACCAGGTTTCCCGTTCCCACCCATCCCAGTCTGAGAACAAACTGTTCTGAAGGCCAAGGGATCTTCAGCATCTCGTGGGGAGGAAGCCAGGAGAAGCAGTTACGTTGGATATTATGCACTTCCAGCATGTTTCATTTGTGATGAATGGTAGCGCACGGAACAGTTACGTGGGTCAAGTTCCCCCCACATGTTTCTGGCTTCACATTATCTCTAGGTATGCCCTTAGCCCTTAGGCATCCTTCAGTCTCAAGAGACTATGGTAATGTGCTCTTTATCAAGGACTTGGAACAGCTTCTAGTGTGGCTGAAAAGATCAATTCGAGAGTGACAATCCCTTCCACACTGAAGACAAATACAATCTGCCCCCTGTCCAGCTCCCTGATTTTGCTGCTTCCGGGACTGCCTCTTTGCCTTGGCCTGCTGGACAAGGATCTCTTCAAATTGGGAGAGGCCGTGATGCACCGCCTGCCTCCAGGCTGAACGCTCAGAGGCCAAGGTTTCCCATCTGTTGAGGTCCATTCCTAAGGCCTTCAGATCCCGCTTGCAGATATCCTTGTATCGCAGCTGTGGTCTCCCTCTGGGGCGATTTCCCTGCACTAATTCTCCATACAGGAGATCTTTTGGAATCTGACCATCAGCCATTCTCACAACATGCCCGAACCAACGTAGATATGCACAGTGGTGGTTATTATGAAAGCAACATGGGCAGCTGCTTTAGTGTCAAACCATTGGTCTACCTAGCTCAGTCTTGTCTACACTGGTTGACAGAGGCTGTCCTGCAGTCCACAAAGGATGGCCTAATCCGGAAAAACCAGGGATAGTATCTGGGACCTCCAGAGTGCGAAATACGGGGTCTGTCACTAAGCACCAGTACCTCCCATGATGATAAATATATTGTCAGGAGTGTTTGCACTTGAATGGAAATTTTTGAAGTTAAGATTTTATTTCATATACATTCGTAAATTTAAATTTTGCAAATCTCATACAAGGAAAGGGAAAAAAAATAGGTAAGATACCCAAAATGGCAAATTTTATTTAGAATCGCAGTGAGTTACAGTATGATCCCCTTATCCGTGGGATCAGTATCTACTGATTCACTTATCTGTAGCCTGAAAATATAAAAAATATTCAAAGAAAAGTCCTCCAATATATATATATTTCTAAAGATGAAGTTACTAGAACTTGTCACTAAAGGGAGCCAGATACCATGCTATGTATAGAATTCACTGTAATCTGTGTTTTTCAGCATCTGCGGAGGGGCTTGGAACTGGTCCCTCGTAGATACACGTCCTAATGTATATCAAAGATGCCTCCTCTGGATAATTGCATCCATAAGTTAATATAGACTATGGAGAACCCTCTAAGTAGGAGATGGAGAAAGTCTGGCCTCCCAGATATTGTTGGACTGCAGTTCTTTTTTTCTCTCTCACCATTGGCCACACTGCCAAAGATTGATGGGGTGTGTGGCCAATAACAATTAGAGGGCCACATGTACCCCAGCCCTGTTATCGATGCAGGAGTCCATCATCACATTTCTCTTTTCAAATCAGATTCAAGAATGAGTTTAGCCAGCAAAAAGCAGTGCTGGCCAGAACCGAACATAACTGGGAGCCCTGGATCAAGAGCGTGGTTGATGGCATCATGGCGTTGGCTATTATGCTGCCATGTTATGTACAGACTTTTTTAAATTAAGGAACATTGCTCACACTTGTGCCCTATCTTATGCTTTCAAGCTGTTGGAATGAAAGTCGCAGACTTCCTTCAGGTGGAAACAGGTGCAATCATGACTGAATGTTATTTCCTAGTTAAGATAGTTTTCAACATTTTACATGTTTTTTAAAATCATTCCATGTATTTTAATCAATTTTATAGTTTGGTTGGTTTTTTTAATGTGTAACTTGCTATGTGTTTAATTCTGTTCTTTTTTATCTTGTGAGCCACCTTGTGTCTCCTTTTTGGGAGAAAGGCGGCCTAAAAATTAGATAGATAGATGAATGAATGAATGAATGAATGAATGAATGAGTGTGGAAGAAGGAATGCAAGCAAAGCTTCATAGGAACAGTTTTTGGTTGTTAATGGAACTTGTTTTGGGGATTTCTTGGAGCTGATGTGTGGGGATTTTGTAGTTTAGAGCTCCATTTTGTGGTTGTTTAGGGATACATCAGTGATGTTTAACATAATCATTATTTTAGTATAATCATTCATTCTCCTGTGATTCTCCTTATAATCATCCCATTGTTATGTGATTCTCGTTGTGCGCAGGTGTGGAATGCCTTCTGATAACCACACAACGCCTCTATGGCCAAATTCTTATCTTATGCTAATTTTGCTTGTTTTGCGTGCTTAATAAAAACGTCTGGGGTGAAGAAGGTAGCCATCTTCTTCTTCTCTACCGGTACCTGAATACTAACAAGATAAAGTCTGCAGTGTCTTTTTTATCAGAGAGTTCTCTCATCAACTGTTGCCGGGCAGGCCTGATAATAGTTCCCTGGCTACTTTCCCACACTGATGTTGCTTGGCAAATTAGCACTGCTTCCCTCCCATGCCCTTATAAATGTCTGTTCGACCAGTATATTCGTAAATAAGCTGCTTCTTTAAAATATACTCTCTGTCAGAAGACACTAGCTTTATAAAGACTACCTTTCACTTCTGATGGTGTTGGCTGATCTTACAGTTCCTTCTGTTGACCAGAGGGCAGTCCTTAAAATGTCACATACTGTTATGGCAAGGATGGCTCTCTCATTGTTGCCAGATTTAATTCCCATTTAGCTTACCTAGCATAGTCAGTGAAAAGGAGTGATGGGAGTTGTAGGCCAACAACATCTGTAGGTCATCATGTTCTCTCTACCTTTATTTTGTCGTCTTATTCTCCCAAAAAGCTCTTCTCTGTGTGTGCTTTTAATCGTTGTGATTTTGCCCCCCCCCCCAATTTGAGGCTGTGGTCAGTCTTCTGGTATACCTCATTGTGACCTTGAATCCTGGGAACTACACCTTCCCATGTGAAATGGCCTTTCTGGGAATACCAGTGAGGAAGTTCCAGGAAATTATCAAAGACCCATAAAAGAATAGCTTTGACGACATCGCCTCCGACATTAATGCTGCATATCTGTGTTTATCATTTCAGAAATTAAAACGACGGTAGTGTACCCAGCAACAGAAAAACACCTGCAGAAATATTTGCACCAGGAAGTGTATCTCATACAGGAGACTGGGGAAGATTACAAGAACATTACTCTGCCTTTTATTGAGTCAAAGAGTTTCAGTATTCAGGTATGGAATACATGTTGTTGTAAATGGAACTTGGTGCTACCTATAGCTGGGAGAGATTCTGCAGTTACATTCAAGACCATGGGACACACCCATATATATATATATTCAATTCCTTCCTGTTTGAATAGCAAGCTCTCTGTTTTGGTCCCCAGTAGAGATGGGGGTATTCGTATTTATATAAGAATACGAATATCCCCACGCAGCTGGAGTTAACAAGGGCCCAGCACCTGGGGCTAGACTGTTCACTCACATGGTGCTGCTGGCCCTGCTCATCCTTTCAATCGCTCCCGAGCGCTGTTTTCTTCCCAATCATCTAACCACTCCTGGCAGAGGGAGGGAGGACGAGTCTCCCTGCAAGGCTGCCGAGCAGCGCTCCAGAGCGATTGGAAGGAAGAGAGGGGTCACTGCCGCTGATGGACCCTTGTTAACTCCAGCTAAATGGCGATATTCGTGTATGAATACACCCCATCTCTGTTTTCCCAGTATTGTAACAAAGACTGATTACAATGATCCCTCCCCCCCCCCCATAACTTAAGATTTTGGGCAAGAAGTGAGGCTTTGGCATGGAGGTGAGGGTGGAGGCTGTTTACAAGCCCACACTTCATTTGGGTGGAAGCAGAAAGGATTACTTGGTTCAGAACCAAGGCCTTTTAAGGCTGTCTCGCCAATTTATCAGATATGTTTTTCCTGTCCTTAACTGTGTCTTTCCTGACAGGATTTTGTGACTCAGCCTTTTAGAGGTATAATTATGAGTATTTAATGTGATTTAATAATTTGCTTGGTTTCTGGGTTTTCTTTTGCTGCTGTGCTGGATGCAATTTCCTCTGTCTTCTAGTAATTTTCACTATGTGCTAGGGTGATTACTGTTTTCTGATGTGTTTTGTTACTTGAAGATAATATCCTAGGAGAGGGTATGGCCAATGCCTTCAAATGGAGCACTGCACGCTGCAACATTCTGTTGCAAGTGTCAGTTATTCTAACAGTTACGTTACAAAAGAATTGTTGCTGTTTAGTTGTTAAGTCGTGTCCGACTCTTCCCGACCCCATGGACCAGAGCACGCCAGGCCCTCCTGTCTTCCATTGCCTCCCGGAGTTGGGTCAAATACATAAGTAAAGCCCAATAAAATGGATGAAGAAATGAAACGGAAAATGCAAGCTAAACCTTAGGCAAAAGAATCAACAAAATGAATGCAATTAATGGGTTTACATAAAATTGTGAGCCAGATTTTGGTTTGCTGAATTCTGGCATCTTGTTGTTTCCAAACTCATCTCCATATACAGACCATGGTTTGTTAGCCATTGCTAATCACAGATATATGCCCCGGTTTGTAACTGACTTAGACATTTTGTCTTGTTTGAATCATGGTTTCTTGTTATATTTGTGGATGATCCCTGGCTTTTTTCCCCCAGTAATGCACACTAAAGCAAAAGAAAGCCAAACTGTGGTATGTTTGGTTTTTGGTAAGCCAATTTGTGACAGCAGATCTTTGTTAACATAAAACATGGCTTATTGTGGCATAGGAACACTGCTGATGAGAGGAGAAATAAATTGAAAAAAAATGTTATAGATACAATGTGGGGGGGGGAATCCTATCAAAAACTAGTTCAATATGCAGATTAAACATATGGGGAGAGCTGTTGCTCACTTACCAAAAAAATGGCAATGTCCTCATAAGCTTGTCTCAGAAATGAGGATCAGGTGGCTGTGGGGGCATGTCATCGGGTTAGAATAATAGCCCATAATAGCAAGTCTCACAGAAGATAAAAAAAAAACTCTTGCAATTTCATTCCAACAAGAGGCTTATTCTTTGGTAGCATACCAAATATATTTTGCACGCCATGTTGCAGACCGTGCAGCTATGGCAGCAGCTGGACCAATGAGAAGGCATGCATGGCTTTGAACGGCAGAAATGTCTGAGGATTCCAGGTCTCATGTAGAGGACCTCCATTTTAATGGAGAGGATGTCTTTAACAAAAAAAGGAAAAGTTTATTAATAATCCCTACAAAAAGAGAACAACAGCAAAAATAATAAAATAATGGACTCGAATACACAATGTCAAACAACACAACAAACACAAGCCATGCTGGAGGAAAAACTATCAATAACCAAGAAATAAGTCACCATTAGAAAGATCTAAAAATTCAGATCACTCAACACTCCACAACATTACAATTCTCAGAGTAGATACACTCAATACAAATCAACAACATCACCAAAGAAAGCTGACAAAAAGCCCCAAACAGTATCTATAATGTAATCACTCCAGATATAAATCATTGTACAATCTCAACTATTTCAATAGCTTACAAAACTACACTAGCATCATATATAAACATCTAGTGCATTATCATCACCGGTGCATGGGTCTTGATTAATGTAGCCCATGGTTACACAATAGAGTTCAACAGATTTCCTCTTACAAGACGTATTCATGTCACCAAACCATCAGATGTACTCAAAGAGGAGGTAATAACATTACTGGATGGAAATGCTGTAGTACCAGTGGCAAACAAATGTATAGAGACAATGTTTTTTTTACTTGAATAAGACTTTTTCTCTATGTCCTGGGGGAGATGAATACGAAGCCTGTTGGCGCAGGTGTTCCATCGGTCCTTCCCCACCCTCCAGAACCAGCCCATTCCACTTACTGGGCTCCTTGATGTGACATCATGCCAATTACTGACATAATTCTGCTGGTCTTTCCCTACCTCTGCCCTCTGCAGTCCGCTCCTCTGCTGAGCTTCCCGCCTCCTTGCTGGAGTGGTCGGCTGCTGGGGAAGGACTGCCCAGACACCTGCATTAGCAGGCTTTGGATCTGTCTCCCCCAAGAGATGAATACAAAACTCCCATGTCCAGTTATTACTCCTGGAATTTTATGATACCAACAACAGATGGTGGATTATGCCTAATTTGATTTGATAAGAGTCAACAAATACATAACAACATTTTGTATGGCGACATTTCAGACCATTTTATCACTATTGAAAAAGGGAGATTGGTTCGTAGCAGTAGACTTAAAGGATGTATACTACCATATTTCTATAAGATCAGAGGATCAGCATTTTCTTTGGCTTGTGGGTGGTCAAAAAATTTACCAAATCAAAGTGCTTCCAAGAGTGTTCATAAAATGTATAGCACCAGCAGCAGCTTATTTATGGACGCGAGGGATTGGCATCTTTCCATACATAGATATTTGGTTGTTGATGGCAAATGCTCAGAACGTCCTTGCAGAGAATATAAGTTTTATTCCCCAAATTTTGTTGGATCTCAGTCTAAAAGTAAATTTAGAGAAGTCTCATACTGTGTCAGGCACTTCAATGCATACATGCTGTTCTCAATTCAATAACACTGAGAACTTACCTACTAGAGGAGAAACACACAACATTATCCACTCAGCAGTGTGGATGTGTTTATCTTCTTCAGCAACAGCACATCAATTCAAAAACTTCTAGACCTAATGACATTGACAACAGCAGTACTATGTCATGCCAGACTGAGAATGAGACCGCTACAGGCTTATTACCTGCTAGGATACCATGAAAAAATACACTGACATTTTAAGAAAATTGCTGTATTGCCACATTTAAAAAGACAGCTGAGATGGAGGTCGAGAAGGGAACATCTCAAGATGGGAGTACCCTCAGTTCAACTTCAACCATCAATTCTTATTGCAACAGATGCAAGCCAAACCCAACAGGGAGTACATTGCTTACAGAAGGACATACGTGGCCACCAGAGGAGAAGGAACATTACATCAATTATCTAGAGCTTTTAGTGATTTTCAAAGCAATGAGAGCACTTGAAAACATGATAACTGGCAGAGTTGTTCAAATAGCAACAGACAATACAGTGGTGCCTTGCAAGACGATTATAATTCATTCTGCGAGAAGCGCTGTCTTGCAAAAAAAATTGTCTTGCGAGGTTCCCTACGATGAATGAAATTTATTCGTCTTGCGAGGCATCGGTCTCGGGGGGAGGAGTCTTGCGAAGCATGGTCATAGAAAAAACCGTCTTGCGAGGCACCATAGCGATTGCAAAAACCAATCGTGTTGCGGGTTTTTCGTCCCGCGAGGCAATCTTCTTGCGAGGCACCACTGTACAAAAGCCATGTACTAAACAAGGAGGTACAAAATCAATGAATCTTCTATATCTATCCATTCTTCTATGGGAATGGTGCATTCTAAGACATTTTTCCATAGCCATACATGTCAACAAGCAGATTTGTTACGCAGAACTCTTAGTGAGTGCGTGAGTGGGAATTGCCTCAACAAGTCTTTCAAATAATCACAAACAGATTGGGAGGGAGATGTGTTAGCATCTCACAGCAACTGAAAATGCAAAATGTATTGTTCTTGGACAAACAAGGGGAAGAATTCTCTGCGAGATTGCTAACCAAGTTAGCAATTCCCCCTGTTGTGAGGCCCTGGGCAAGTCATTTACTGTATAAATATGCTTCACTTGGATGGAATAGGGAAGGGAGAAGCTTCAGAGAGGCATGTGTGTGCATGCTAGCAAGTCCTTAACTTTGATAAGCGGCTGTTCTCTTTCTTTATCTTCTAAGTTAGAAAATACAAAACCCTTTGAATTTTACTGGAATAAAGAAGATGATCCCCATGGGAGAAATGCTTACTAATTGCACAAAGTGGAAACATAAATGTTTCAGAAACGGCACACCACTTTGGCATTATGATTAATTAATCGGTGGATATTTCTGCTAGAATTTGAAGGAGAAAGTCATCTTTTAGGGTAATAATAATGAAGATTGTTTGCTTTTTATAGCATATCTTGTTCTGCTCACTCCACACCCCACAAACATCTTTGTTTCTATCCCTGGAAAATATATTTCCCCCTTCCTCTCTCTCTGTGAGAGAGTTTCTCTCTGTAAGGTGCACAAACACCGACACCCAGGAGTGTGTGTTGTGATATGCCTATGAATACAATGCTAAATGCTAAACTATACAAATAATAGTAGAAGTAGCCTAAATGAAGTATGAGGCTCAAGGAGAAGATGTCAAAGGTACAGTCCCATCATAAGCCTTTACTTGGGAGTATGTCCTCAACAAACATAAATGTAATTCCTCAATAAACAGGCATAAGATTGTACTGTGAAAGGTGCATCACTCCAGGCATAATTTGGATGAAGTTTTGAATTAGCCATGGCTCATGTTTTCAAGGTTAAAACGTGTTTTTAAGTTTCAGGAAAATAAGTGTATTGGAACCTACTGGAACATAGACTAATGCTTAGAAACTGCAAATAGACTTTGTATACCGTATCTGAGGTGTACTTGATGAGGGGCACAGTGAGAAGAACTCTTAAGGAAAGAGCATTTACCTTCCAGTTAGCTGGGAATCCCCACACGTCTCATATTAGACATCAGGAAAGGGAAAGATAATCTATTTTGAAGCAGTATTTTGTTTATTTGTTTTAAATTTGGGCCAGGGTCTGCTGATGACAGCATTCTTCATCAGAGGCCTACACAATTAAATGTGCATTCGTAGTAGTTGTGGTCTGTTTCTAATTATTTATAACTCCAAAACATTGGCTTCTTTTTCTTTCTTTCTTTCTTTCTTTCTTTCTTTCTTTCTTTCTTTCTTTCTTTCTTTCTTTCTTTCTTTCTTTCTTTCTTTCTTTCTTTCTTTCTTTCTTTCTTTCTTTTGAGAGGTTTGCTTTGCAGACTCCAAATGTGCTTTCAAACATCATTTTCTTTTCTTGTTTTAATTAAAACAATATTTCAACAGTGGTAATGTGCAGCATGCCTTGGTCAGGCCGTAGCATACCACAGGGTGATTACTTGGAAGCAAAATCAGCCAGCTCAGATACTGGATTATGTCTCCTCAGTAAGGTTCATTTCCCATGTTACAGAGTCTCACAAAGTTCTTCTTTGTATTTGCTGATGGCAAGTATCTTTAGAAATATAGTACACCTATAGTACATCACTAGCTGCAGGAGTCATGTATGGTAGAACCACCATGAATGAAGTTCACAGTGCTTTGAAAGTCTTTCAATGGCCAAGGTTGGCAACTTCTAGCATTTTCTTATGTATCACTGGATCTTAGAATTATCCCACAAATGAGCATAAAATATTGGGTGCTACCTTTCCTAAGAACGTAAGATTAGGCATCCTTCAGTTTTGAGAGACTATGGTAACGTGCTCTGTATGGAGGACTTTCAACAGCATCTAGTGTGGCTGAGGAGGCTGATTCGAGAGTGACAGTCCCTTCCACACTGAAGATAAATCCAATCTGTCCCCTGTCCAGCTCCCTGATTTTGCTTGTTTCAGGTCTGCCTCTTTGCCTCAATCTGCGGGACAAGGGTCTCTTCAAATTGGGAGAGGCCGTGATGCATCCTTTTGTTTCTGTTCATGGGGTTTTCCCCAATATGAATTTGACCCAACTCCGGGAGGCAGTGGAAGACAGGAGGGCCTGGCGTGCTTTGGTCCATGGGGTCACAAAGAGTTGGACACGACTAAATGACTAAACAATGACAACAATGATGCACCTCCTGCCTCCAGGCTGAACGCTTGGATGTCAAGGTTTCCCATCTGTTGAGGCCCATTCCTAAGGCCTTCAGATCCTGCTTGCAGATATCCTTGTATCGCAGCTGTGGTCTCCCTCTGGGGTGCTTTCCCTGCACTAATTCTCCATATGGGAGATCTTTTGGAATCCGACCATCAGCCATTCTCACAACATGCTTGAGCCAATGTAGACGTCGCTCCTAAGAACCAAGGAAACAGAAAATTGGGTATGCTTAGCCCAAAGAAAAGAATATTGAAAGCTGAGATGATAGCCTACTTCAGAAGTTCTGTGGTATGGAAGACAGTGCAAGATTGTCCTCTGTTGCTCCAGAGGGTAGGACCCAAACCAGTGGATTCCACTTACAAGAAATGAGATTCTAATTCAACATTACAAAGAGCTTCCTGATGGTCAAAGTTGGGGATGTCAAACAGATTACCTCAGAAAGGAATGATTTGATTGTGGATTCTTGTCTTGACTAAGGGACGTGGTGGCGCTGCGGGCTAAACCGCAGAAACCTGTGCTGCAGGGTCAGAAGACCAGCAGTTATAAGATCGAATCCACGCGACGGAGTGAGCGTCCATCGCTTGTCCCAGCTCCCGCCAACCTAGCGGTTTGAAAGCATGCAAATGCAAGTAGATAAATAGGGACCACCTCGGTGGGAAGGTAACATCGTTCCGTGTCTACGTCGCACTGGCCATGTGACCACGGAAGATTGTCTTCGGACAAAAATGCTGGCTCTATGGCTTGGAAACGGGGATGAGCACCGCCCCCTAGAGCCGAACACGACTGGACAAAAATTGTCAAGGGGAACCTTTACCTTTACCTCTTGTCTTGACAGGGGATGGGACTAGGTGACTCTTAGATCTCTTCCAACACTACAATTCTATGAGTCTTTTGAGGAAGAAGCAGACTGCCTGACAGCTGAGGGTGATGGAGCTGAAAAGGTGAAGAGAGGTGTCAGGCTTTTATGAACGTGAAAAGGCTTGAAAGGAGGGATGAGACCCTAAAGAGTGTTGCATGTAAGAAAAAAGGAGATTTTTCTGGCTAGCTAAAAACCAGACATGGAGGTTCCTGATCACCTCCTTGTAGCTAAAGAATGCATGATGGCCAGGTTTTTTTGCTGCTGTGTCACATAGTGTGATGCCATTTGTTTGAATCAGACCACTGTTGTCTTGTATCTAAATACTCTCAGATGTTCACAAGTGGGACATCTTATTCAGCTAATGATTGGGAAAGGGAGTGGGGAGAGACTGACGAGGAATGGAGAATCTTTCAGATAGTGTTGGACTGGAACTCTCATCAGCTCTCGCTGTTATAGCTAAGGATGAAATATTATAGGTCTAGCAGCAGTGAACAACATCTGGAGGACCACACATTGTCCATCCCCAACCTCATGCAGTTTCTGCCACATCTGCATCGGAAGTGATTTAATAATCCATTCACACTTACAAATGGATTGCTTCCAGTCTTTGTCAGCTTTGTGTTTATATAATTGTATTTTCCATCCAGCTTTTAAAATCACTTCAATTTAGGATACGCATACAATTTCACATTTATTTCTAATTAGAATATCCTTCAACACATGCATCTGCATTTTATATGCCTTGCCTCCTACTATATGCAATGTTGCACCACGCAATCCCGCATGTACAATTTTGTGCGCTATATTTGAGCTGACAGCTGGATCACAACATTTGGAGAAGGATTACTGTTCTCCAAGCTCTGCAAAGTGCAAATTAGGTCAGATTGTCTAAAAGGCAGACAAAATGAAACTTTCTCCTAGACACAGTGTGGCTAAATGAGAGTATGATTTATTGACAAGGAAGGAGAGAAAGCTTGGAACAGTACGCTATGCAGAGATACAGCTGACAACCCCTTAAATCAGTGAAGATTGAAGTTCAGCCTGAGAATTGTATGCAGATCGACCCTCCCTGATATCCCCCCCTTTTTTTTCCTAGACCCACCCCAAAAGAACAATTTTGTGTTCCTGGAAGCCCCCAAGAGCTGTCCTTTTACATCAAAATGGGGTCCAGCCCCCAAACTTAAACTAGCAGTAGACTTCCATCCACCTTCAGGAAATTTTGTTTTTGTTTGTTTTGAATTTTCAGGGCCAGTGATTCCCAGACCCTTCAAAGTTGCCCACTCTGCCTTAGGTAGTTAATTAAAATAGATTGCCGCTGGCACCTCTCTGGCAGAAAGTTTGGCAAGTCCTGACTATTTCCATTCTGTATTGGTTTCCGCACCAGAAAAAGATGGGGCAGACTGTCTCCTTAAGGACCTTGCAACTAATTTCATTTAACAAAGTCTCCATTATTCCTTTTTCTGCCTCCTCCTGACAGTTGTGTTCAAGCCATTTTCTTTTGGCAAAGCCAATGTTAAGGACCGTTCTTTCCAAACCCATTACACAATGGTTCTGCCGTTGTTCGGCCAGGAGTGATGTAACTGTTCTTTGGACGCAACCAAAGAGTTTATGAAATTGAGTGTTCTGCTTTCAGAAGTGGCTAGCTGATGCATCCTGCATCCAGTAATTCACGTGGCCAGGATGGCTGTGCTGGTATATGAAAAAATAATTCCCGTGAGTCCGTCAGAGATCAGCAAAGGCACTGAGGCATAGTGTTTGGCTGTTTTATGGCTAATTAACCACAGACCTATTAGCTATGAAATCATTTGGCTCTTTTGTGAATCCAGATGAAGGTAGTGCTGTTTTTAAAGCCGAACCTACAATTACATTTCTAGGGGTGACTTGGAGTAAAAAGAGCATATGTTAGAGAGATGCTTGATTTACTGTTGATAAATATTTCTCTCTCTCTCTATCTCATATTTTAAGAGGAATTTATTTATGTCTTCTAGTGGGTATACAACATCCTGGAAAAGAAAGCCGAGGCTGATCGAATAATCTATGAAAACCCGGATCCTGCCAATGGTTTTGTTCTCATTCCAGATCTTAAATGGAATCAAAAACAGGTCAGCTAAGATGTTGGTTGGTTCTTTATAAGAACATCTGCTGTTTTCAAACAATTTAGGGAAGGAATATATGTTAGATCATGGCTCTTACCAAGTGGGGGGGGGAAAGTGCGCCTTATGGAGCAAAAAATATGGTAGTTTTTGGGACCAGAGAATTCCATGGATCAGGTGAAAAAGGCCTTCTGAGAAGGAGCGTTCTCCCTGTCAGTCATGTCTTGACTTTATCTGGGACATATAAAAAAGTTTTGGCATTGGGGGAGGCAGTCCCTAAGGTAAGTTGATCCTAAGGCATTTAAAGTGAAATTTATGAAAATTATGAAAATTATGAAAAAGCATGGCAGTGGGAGGCTTCTGGGTGGTGGTGGCTGAACCCTTTTTTACTGTATTAGCTCCATAAGACGCACATACTTCCCCCCCCACTTTTTTGGGGGGGAAAGTGCGCCTTATGGAGCAAAAAATATGGTAGTTTTTGGGACCAGAGAATTCCATGGATCAGGTGAAAAAGGCCTTCTGAGAAGGAGCGTTCTCTTCTCCCTGTCAGTCATGTCTTGACTATATCTGGGACATATAAAAAGGTTTTTTCGTCAGAGCTTAGTACACAGGCAGATTGGCATGGGGTGAGGCAGTCCCTAAGATTAGTTGATCCTAAGGCATTTAAAGTGCTCAGTGGCTTGAACACATTATGAGACAAGACCCACCGGAATAGATAATAATGATTGGAAAGGTTGAAGACAGTTTGAAAAAGAGAGAGACCAAATACGATCAGTAAAAACATCCGTGGTCTTGAGTTTTTAAGATCTGAGCTGGGCTATGAATTATTGGGCCTTTTGGAGGTCGCTGTTTCATAAGTCTGAAATCACTTGGCAGGACATTACAAAATCATAAAGGTTAAAATGTTGGACTTCAAGTTGAAAGATTTAGGTAGGAGTCCTCATTGAGCTTTGAAATATACCAAATGACTCTGAGCCAGCCCCTTTCTTCTGAGCCTGTCCTACATCATGGTGTTCTTGCAAGAATCAAAGTGAGTAGGAGAAGATCCATGGACACTGCCTTGAGAACCTTGAGCTC